GGGACCACGATGAAGAGAAGAGGCAGCTACACGTTGTTAACGCCACGGAAAGTCTGACATTAGACCTGGTTAGATCAACCGTGCATGTCCTCTGCTTTAGCCGGCGAGCAAGGAGAAGCCACGGTGAGGAATGGGTGTGTGAAACAAGAGAAGATGCTTGGAGGAGAAAGAGACAGATTATGTAACGGAGGGACTTGTTTACATGTCCTCTCTAAGTTCACGTTAGCTGAATGGAGACACCCTGCCGTAGCCGCTGTTCTTGGCTCTGCCACATTGCATTAATATCTCTATTCATTGTGACTGGTAATTGGCCTACTTTGAGGCGAGCGCTTGTGTCCCATCTAGAATTGTACAGTAAAGAAAATGGATGGAAACTCGGTCTGGAGATTCCAGATTGGAAATTGAAAACAGAAATATAGAATTAAAAAAAATGTCAGGAGACGCATTGACAAGAAACTTTCAATTAGCAGATTTTGCTTGGTTTTATTCATCTTCTTTCATCACATTATTGTATTACTGCATGTGTCTGAATATATGTGAGTGGTCTTGTATGTATTTTATTTTGAATATAATGGTCTTTCTAACTACTCATTCTTCCTCCCCAAATTGGCGCTAATTGAATAATGTCTGATTAATCTTGTAGAATTTGAACTACCCCACCTTGTATTGGGTAAGACCTCAGAAACGCTGACAAAAGCAACAAGGAAGAAAGTCGTGTGGCTTTGCAGGGGAAGGTTTGGAAGATTCATATTGCATCCACGTAATGTCCAGCAGGTCAACGTCAACCCTCCAACAAGGGTTTGCATAACATTTATGCCTTCACGGTTTTTGGCACGCAACTTACTAAATGTGTTTCAGTGACTGTAGTGTAAAGTCTACAGAGGGACTGAAGCACATTCTCTCATCACAAACATTGTCATGCATATCAAGATTGTTTTTTGTTTGCAGCAAACACAGTGAAGCAAACTGTGACATGTGTGAAATCAAATTACAGACTTGCAATGGATGCACCCTGTGTAACCCGGGGATGTTGGAGGAAGCGTCTGCCAGGTGATGACCCTGTGGGCAGCAAATCACAATCATACTGGGCGGCTGCCAGGAGCAGAGACTGTGCCATCGCACGGCCCACCAGCACTCCAAGAGCAGCTCATGGTCACTCATCACAGACGCTCTCCACGCGTCTCCCCCTCTCCCTCTCCCTCTCTCCCCTTCTCCCCCTCTCCCCTTCTCCCCCTCTCCCCCTCTCACTCTCCCCCCCTTCTTCTCTCTCCCTCTCTCTGTGCACTCGGGTCAGTAGGAAGAGAATGCAATGCACATTGTTGGCCACTTCGCTGTATAATTCATGTCCTGGTCCTAAAATAGAGTACTCAAACTGTACTGTTTCCACAGGAGCTACAAAAAATAGAATCCTGCACGTGGAATGAAAAGCAAGGTTGTTCCAAATAAAAGGGGATTATCTTTGTGTTTACATTCTATGTATTTTCTGCTATGCATTGTGTCTAATGTAATGCTGATATGTTTTACATAACACATCTGTAGCACATCTGTCTGCCCTGGTATCGTGCAGAGGTTCTTTTTCTCCATTTCAAGGGGTTTTGTTGGGAGAGCTTCACTGAAGCGAGAGATGTTGTCACATGCTGTGCGGATTGTAAAAAAACATGAAAGAAAATGTGTAAGTTGCAATATTGGGTTGAATGAATAAATGTGGTTTAGGACATGTCATACGCAGTGAGCTTCGTTTCCATCTGAAATGTCTCTGGGGTTGTCATGGCGCAGGGGTTAGAGAAGGTGTGCAGGGAAGCACAAGGTTGGTGGTTCGATTCCAGGCTGCCCCATGTTCCATGTCGAAGTGTCCCTGAGCAAGACACCTAACCCCTAATTGCTCCCTGGGCAAAAATGTGAAAAGCCATGGGTATTAAAGTGTAATGTAAGTCGCTCCGTCTGCTAAATGACTTGTAATGTAATGTAATGTGCACGACAAGACAAAATAACTGATGTTGTGGTAAACTCTCAATGGAAGGCAGACAGGAAATCTACTGTATGTAAGCCAAGACTTCCTATATATGGGACCAAATCTCAGCGTACCCTGGGGAACACATCTCTATGCGGTTACACACCACGTCCACAGACCGTTCCGATAACAAGACAAAAAGGAGGCTATTTGTCCCGTAACTTGCCGTAACACTTAATTTGACGGCTAGATGTCTCCGTAGAATAGTAGTATTACGCAGCCAGTGTCTGGTGGGACTGGTTTCTCCTGCTCTCCCACTCATGAGCTGTGAGTGGGAGGCCCGCTAACCAGTCATGACAGAGGAGAATCAGACTTAAGATGACGCCCGCCACACTGGAGACCGTCATCGCGCCATGTCGCCTCCACCGCGTTCATTTGTTGGCGGTAAAGAAATATCCACAGCCTCCAACTACAGGTTGTTATTTATTCATGAAAATCAACATGTATGCATTCGCTTCATCAGTTTAAGGGGTGCTAAAACTAACCAAGAGCTCACAAAAGTGCTGTCAAGTGTCACTTTGATGCCATCTAAGGGTAAGAATAAACCACAATGTGGGGCGGGAACTTTCACTCTTGACTCTGCATGCCACTTGCCCAGAGGTCTTCCCATCATGCTCTGGGCAGGAGGTATCGAAGCATCCCAGACAGGTGTCATTCAACAGCACAGTCTGGGATTAATCGTGGGGAGAGGAAAATCTTTTTTCTTGTGCTTTATCATTCTCATGGATCTATTATTTTCTGTCGAACAACAGCACATATCCCTATGATTTCTATTTTTTGTATTCATTTCTACAGATAATTCAGATTGCTTGGCACACACACATAGTCTGCAACTGCCACAACAGCTAACTGGTTTGTTCTGACATGACAATGAGCATGAGTGAGCCTGGAAACAACTCAGAGAGCGTTTTCTAAAACAGGAAGGAGTAATTAGTAGATGTCATTTGAGAGGAGTGTGGCGAATTAGAAGCCCGGTGGATCATGTCATTAGGACGGCAGCCTCCCCATGCGCGGCTCAGGGAAGGACAAGAATACCACGACGGCTTCCTTTGCTGAACACTACGAGCTGTAACAGAAAACACCATTTGACACACACACACACACACACAAACACTGACACAACTGCTTGGTGGACGAATACAGACACAGATCACAATGTCAACCGAGGCTGGCAGAGATGCGTGACAGTTTCGCATCTCTGATCAGATGTGAAAAACAACATGTCGGTACAAAAGGACTTTTTTAAGGAAGAGTTGGTTTTCGAAATGAGATATCAATTTCAATTCAGATGACATTTCATGTAATATTTGGCACTATGTAACAATCCAACCTTTTCAGGTGTTTACTAGAAAAACATATTGGAAATGTTGATTTCAACATCCCATCTTTTTTTATGGGGTAAATTAGTGCTGAAAAGACTAGTAAATTATTTAGTATTATTGCAGTAATAGTCAATCTACTGAAAATGTATGTTAACAATCAAAGTTATGTATAAGGAAAAACAATGGATGGACTGAAAATCTCCACGAGACACAGAAGCTGTGTTTTGTTGCACCTTCGCTCACAGACAAAAATAACGACAGTCTTTATCAGCCTCTTATATGTAACACAAGCAAATTTATTCAAAACTTGGCAGCAGTAATTCCTCAACATACGTTCAATATTGCATCAGTTCATGACTAAACAAACAATGTATCATCTCCGCCAGGGCTCCGCTGACCTCCTGTACTATTTTTTATTTTAAATATTTGGTCAACAGCTATCGTCAGTGACTAATTTAATTTAATTTAATTTAAGATAATAGGGGCTTGTTCAGGGAGACAGTGGCGAGCCTGCGAGGGTTTTATCGCAGAATAGATCAGACAGAGCAAACAACAGTGACGATGGAGTAATAAATAAATCTCTCTGAGAAGTAGGCAGAGTTCTGAGAGCAGCACATTAGAGCCTCATGCCTTTTATTAAACAAATTGGGTGTTCAAGGAAGCATATTGGCTGTTTGCTCAAGCATGTTTTATAGTGCGGCTGTGTAACCATCGAGACACACAACTGTGCCAGTTCAAAGATGACATCATGGTCCAGTTCAAACAAGCTCACGCTGTGAATTCATCTCTTTTTACTTACCGTTTGTAACTAATTGAGCCATCAAACGCTGTCCCTTTGCAAACATTGGATACAGTGTGGAGCAACGGTTAAAATATATTAAAGAAATAAGTTATTAAAACAAGACAATCAATCAAAATTAGTTTCTATAATCTTAAAGTGTGTTTCTGTATTCTATTGAAAAGAAACCTTGTGTAACTTTACATGAGACAGTAAAGGACAATCTTAAACAGTCAGACAATGTTTTAACCTATAAACATTGAAACTAATCTTTAATTCCTGGAGGATATTAACATGAGTTCAAGAATTGTCTTTAAAGAAGCCCATTTTGACATTGACTTGTGTGTTTATACTCACCGATGGACGAAGACCATGAAAAGCGTCTGAAAGCCTCGACTGAGCCAGTAAGTGGACGACATACTCAATGATGAAATGTTTTTACTGAGATGCACTACAGTGTGGCTCAACTGCACCAAAAAACGAGTCCTCTAGGTGATGGAGCAGTTTTATTGTCTTATGTAACCAACTCAGATTACCAACGCTGATGAATTACTTTGTTGGGAAGAATAAGCTAAATGGAAAATCAGTGTACTTTTTATATGAGCCTGTCAAATGTCTGACTTCAGTCAAAGAGGGAAATTATCTCTTGAATATCCGCCATTCTCAATAATTGTCCTGCATACCCGGTGCTTAATGCGGAGGCTTGCGGGGGGGACTCAACTTTGGCGGCATCTTGTTGAAGATGTTGTCCCTGTCCAAGGTCCTGAAATCTGCTTTCCGAAGCACGCGTCACGTGACTTCGCCGAGCACTGCCTCGCTCAGCACCGAGCCTCCTGTTTTCTGGAGATTTCAAAAACAGGACGAGCCCCAAATCCCATCCCCTCTTATCTTGCGTGGTTTTGACTGTTTGTTTTTTCCACCACCATCACCCTCCCTCCCCCCCACCCCCAAACACACACCCAAGCCCCTCTCTCCCTCCCCCCCTTTCTGTCTATCTGTTGGTAAATGTGGACCTTCAAAGCGCTCGGAGTATGACAAAAGATTTCAGGATGCTGGATTTGCGCTGTCTTTTCGCTTAAATACCAACGTGGTGAATGCGTCGGACGGGGAGGACAAGCCTGCTGCTAGTGCTCCGCGTTTCACAAAGTTAACATCATTTTTCTTCATTTTATTTCTCCCTGGAGCGACTCCAGAAGGATGTAAGAACCGATCCACCTCGCGCAGCTGAAGTCTCCTCGTCAAGATGCAGAAGGGCATACGATTTAACGATGGTCATGTCACCTACCTGGGGCTTTTGGCGAAAAAGGATGGTACGAGACGAGGGTGCTTGAGCAAAAAGAGCTCAGACAACACGAAATGGCACACAAAGTGGTTTGCTTTGTTACAAAATATGCTCTTTTATTTTGAGAACGAGTCCAGTTCTCGACCCTCGGGATTATACCTGTTGGAGGGATGCATTTGCGACAGGGCGCCTTCACCGAAACTCTTTCAGTCCGCCAAGGAGTGTTTGGAAAAGCAGGTACAGAGAGCGTGCACACGCCTACGCGCACGCACGCGCTTGCCAAACGCACATGCACACTCTCTCTCTCTCTCTCTCTCTCTCTCTCTCTCTCTCTCTCTCTCTCTCTCTCTCTCTCTCTCTCTCTCTCTCTCTCTGTTTCTCTCTCTCGCTCTCTCGCTGCTTTTTTTTCAGGCTTGGTGTTAAAAATATCGACGAGGTGCAACATTGGAGGTGGATTTTGCTGCAATTTCGCGAGCAAAGCGCTTTTCTAATGCGTGTATTCATTCATTCATATCCAATTGCACGATGACCTCAAATCCAGCGCAGCCGAATTGCACGAGGTTCCAGACTGCTGTATTGCACGTTATGTAATCCACGCATGGCATTAATAGTGAGGTAACAACAAATAATTGGAGTGATAGTTTTTAGTGATGCATGATCACCCCGGTTTGTTAAACATTTTACTTTTATTTATTTTATTTTCATTGATTATAGTTTCGAGGGTTCAGGACGGAGAACGATATTTACCTAATACTCATTTTAACAAAACGAGGTGAAAAGGTTGTTGTTCCAAGGTTTCCATCTCGTGGATAAATGATGGAATTACAGGTTAAAGTGAAGAAACTGCAGGGGGGGCTATGATCAGCCAGTTCTCATCTAGATGGCCTGTATTGATTTCTTTTTTTGCAAAATTGTTTTGTCTGTGCTTTTAAGAAATTACAACAAACAAGGCACTCCATTTTAAAATATGCCATCTGGCTGTTACTTACATCTGTAAAAAAAAATGAAAGGGAGAAGTAGAAAGGTTGACTGGTGTGTTGACACTTTTATAGTGAATAAACATGCCGTGCACGCTTCACTGCCACAAAGTCACCCAATCAACAATCCTGTTTCCTCTGCATTGCCCTATTTTAGATAAATGAAACATTCTGCAAAAGGCCTGATGGGCAGAATGTGTGATACATTTGTCAGAGGACGCTTGATTCACTTTGTTCTGGGAATTCTGAATCCTGTTAAAGTGCTTGATGACTAATGTGACAGGCTGCTGCTGAGTTACCTCTCAATGTAAACAAACATATTCTTTACAAGGATGAATAAGAGAATGAAAATATCTCATCTATCTCTTATTCCCTCCTGGATTAAGTTTTTTTTTTGCAAATGTTTTAGCAATCCGTCATAATCCCTGAATTATATTTATCCTCAATTGCGTTTAGTGTGAACGTGATAATGCATTTGAGCCCGATGTTTCTATGGCAACCCTTATTTGCATCCTAAAGAATGAAGAGGAAGAGGGGAACAGATGAGAGGTGTAGTGTGGCTCATTTCTCCTATGTGCATACAATCCAAGCTAAATTTGTTCCTTGCTGTACCTCCGAGGGGTCAGTGTCCATTTATGGAAAAAACACTTCTCGCTCACATTGTGGAAATAGCAGCACTTCAACCAATAACACAAGAATCTATGGGAGCAAGAAATGGCTGATTTGCTTCAAAATCTACTGCAAATAAAAAGCATGATATTCTGGTTCTTTGATGAAAATAAAGTTCCTTAATTCAAATAAAAATGGATGCATGTAGAGGAAATTCACTACTCCATACTCCTTGTTGTGTTTCAACCTTTTACAGTATTGTAGCACTACATGAGTCAGAAAGCAATAACACAGAGGAAAAGACTAAATGTTCAAGAATAATTTGCTCACAGCCCAACAAAACGGATATGTGATTGTTACCCCTATAACTGTAATACTAATGTATTTACATTGTAGATTTTACCAATGCTTTATCAATGTCATGTATGTCTGTTTAGATGAGTAATGATGTTTAAAGGTGCCTGACTCAGCCATAAACATTAAGCAGGAAGCAGACAGTGTATTGGACATTGCTTCACACCAGATCTTAAAGAGATCATGAGGTTAACTACAACAACATGCATGCCTCTTCTCCGGAAATAGATTTTCATAGTATGATGAATACATAATGAATGTGACGATGGAAGAGCAGTCAGTCATGAGTAATGATCCGTTGCAGGTTGATAGGCGCCTGTTGCTGCAGGCCAAAGATCAGAGCACGGTCTTGCTCAGCACGTCTTGAACGGTCCACAGAAAGATGACGGATGAGTTATGCTATTGTTTAATCACAACCCGCTTTCTGAGGCCGTCTTTCCGTTTTAAACAACGGTATGCTATATGGAGCCTAATCCTATGGTAAATCAAGCAAAAGTAGTTTTATTAGCAAAATGTTATGTTAAAAATATGAAAACCCAAAAAGTTAACACTATTATTGACATGAAAAATATTGTTATTGATAATAATAATATTATTATAATACTGCACTAGTTGTACTACTACCAGTACTACTATAACTAATAACACAATAATAATGCCTTATATTCCGTTGAGCTTCAGTTGCTAGGAAACAGGTGTCCCACAGTTATGTAATCGGCTGTGGCTCCATCTGCCATGTCTTGTGGCATTTCCTCCTGTGAGCCAGAGACATCCCAGGATGCGAGCTGTGGGAGACTTCCCTCAGTGTCGCCCATCAAGTGCACTGGTGGGCGAGGAAGATGTGGCTTCCCCGGGCCCTGCGTGGTTTTAAATCATCTGTTTAATATCGGCGGTAGAGAGGCAGTGCAACAAACACAGAGGCAGTGGAGAAGCTTCAAGCTAAGCCATTCTATTGTATATTTATTTAGAGGGTATGCAATGATGCATGCTCCTTTCTTTGCAGAGCATATAGCATGTCACATTAATCATAGTCCTGTTGTTTAACAAGAACCCACCCCCCCTGCCCCCTTGTCTGTTTCAGTACTATTTCACTGTCAGCTTCACACATGAAAATCAAAAGGCGCTCGAATTACGCACTGAAGATGTGAAGGACTGCGATGAATGGGTGGCTGCAATATCACACGCCAGGTAAAAGCATCGCATCGGTGCAACGTGCAGACATGGCAAATAGAAGTTGAATTAGTCAGTGTAGAGTAAGTCCTCTTGGACGCTGAGTCCGTAGAGGATGTTGCCATGGTTTCATAAGTAGGGTTAAAATATGAGGAATGACAGGAATAAGCTTCGTTCATAAAATAAAAAACGGATTGCCTTTAGATAAAATACACTGATGTGAAATTATTCTGGCTTAAACTAAAAAATATGTCTATGTATGTTTGTGTGTGTGTGTGTGTGTGTGTGTGTTACAGTTACAGAAACTTGGCCAACGAGCATGAGACTCTCATGCAGAAATATCTTCATCTGCTTCAGATTGTGGAGACGGAGAAAACAGTTGCTAAGCAACTTCGACAACAGATAGAAGATGGGGTAATAGAGATTGAGAGGCTAAAGTCAGAGGTAACACTCAATGTTATGAGCTGACGCTGAGGAGTAGGCATGTAAACAAATATGAATATATTATTCACATTATAAGAGAAACAGAAAGCATACAAATGTTGCTGTCATATTGAACCACCTGTCCTTTGCCAAATTAAGCAGTTTTCCAGCTCCTCATTTTAGAGTCTTACCAGAATAGGATGTAATTACCATTTGCTACAATCAGTCGAGTTCAGTCTTGACAACAAGAACAGGATGACGGATGCCGATTGAGGATGAACGTCCAATAATCTGTATGCCAATGAAACGCAATTGTAGCTGTCTTTAGCAGTTGACTCCTTTGTTTTATTTATGTATATATATAAATATGTATATATATAAATATGTATATATATATATATATATATATAGATTTATTTATATATATATATATATATATATATATATATATATATATATATATGTATATGTATATACATATATGTGTATATGTGGATGTATAGAAAGAGAGAGAGATATTGATGTTTTACTGTTAAATATCCAGGATGTCTTTTCCTTTCTCATCATTATAGAAAATGGTAACAGGTTTTCTTCCTATTTATAAATGTCTGGCAGACACAAACCATCAATCAAAAATATGAACAATATCAATAGACCTGCTGAATTGGCTCTTACATCCCACACTTGTTCCTTTCCCCCAAATTTTTTTATTGTCCCATCACCTCTACTCAGCTAAAAAAAGCAAGCGGGGAAAGGATGGATTATTGCTGATTATTGCTGTGTTTGAGAGACGTATTCAGGCCAACCACAGTCCACTTTGCATCTCCTCTCAGAAACAATGCCTTCAATAAGGCTGTGTTCTTCAGATCAAATGGACATTTCACTTTAATGTGCAAATGTGGTGCTTGAAATCAAATGATTTGCGGCATATGTATGAACACAGCTTTTTATTGCATCACTTCTATTACATGCAATGACAATTAACTCTCGCACCTTCTACAAAGTAAGTGGAGACACTCAGCTTCAAACAGTTCAAGGCAGCTCCAGTCCGTCTCCTCTTCTTAGTCAGCAGCCTGTTTACCTTTTATCAACATGCAGAACCATATTGCATTTAAATGAACAATGTAAACAAATGTTGATCCAGCAGTACCGGGCAAGTGATCACAACTAGATCAGTCAATTTCTCAGTGCAGACAGCGTTGACAGCTGCTGGTAACTCAGTCACTTTGTGTACATGCTGGTACAGTAAGTGAGAAGAAGAAAGTGTGTGAGTGGAAATGACTGGTCTTTTTTGTGGTGGCCTCCTTGGCAGATCTCTGGGCTGCTCAAGGACAATGAAAAGATTCACGACAGCCCTGCAGCCGCCCCCACCGACGAGGACTCCGAAATCAAGAAAATCCAAAAAGTAAAGCTCATGATTGAAACCTGTGGCTACATTTTTAGAGTATCTTTGGATTCTTGGAAATTAACTACAGCCTTCAAAACTCCAGGTCCAGAGCTTCCTGCGAGGCTGGATCTGCAGGAGGAAATGGAAGACAATCATCCAGGATTACATCCGCTCGCCACACGCAGAGAGCATGAGGAAGAGGAACCAGGTGGTGTTCAGCATGTTGGACTCGGAGGCAGAGTACGTGCAGCAGCTTCATATCCTCGTGAACAACTTTTTGAGGCCCCTGCGCATGGCAGCCAGCTCCAAGAAACCGCCCATCACCCACGATGATGTCAGCAGCATATTCCTCAACAGGTTGGATCCTCTCGTCCCACAAAGAACTTCATTCATTTTCGTATAAAATGCTCCCTTACCAGGTACCCGGTGGAGTTTTTTTGTGGTTTATATACAGGTAGAGGTAGAGATAAGGGCAATTTAACTGTGGTTGGATTTAAGTTGTTAAAGTTTTTTAAGCATTATTCTACTGATTGACAATTTGCAACCCGGAACGGGTCAAGAAAAGATAAACTGCTTGCTGGCAAACCTATCTAAATAAAAAACAGCTTTGGAAATACTTCTTACTTAAAGGGAATCTCATGCTCTCAAGACTTTTGTCCACAGACACTAACAAAATTCGACAGAAAGTTATGTGTAGTGTCCTAGCTTTGATATGTCTGTGAAGAAAGATATGAAGACATTGATAAATAATAAAGAAATATATTTTCCCAACATGTAACCTGAAGTCCTCCCAGCACATCGGCGCTCAAAGCCTGAGAACTCGTGTTCTGGGTGTCAGGGCTTTTCTTTTCTACAACTTCGCCGGGTGTTGGCAGACTGAATAACACAAACTCTGTATTTGTTTTTAGAAGAGAATCATTTTTTTCTTTCTTCTTTTTCAGTGAAACGATCATGTTTCTACATCTGATCTTTTACCAGGGTCTGAAAGCCAGAATAGCGAGCTGGCCAACATTAGTGCTGGGTAAGAACTGTGTCATTTTCAGGGTTTTTTAAAACATCATTAAAGGTAATGAAGAGAGACTCCGTATTACAGTATCTTGGTATTGATCTCTCGCTAGCTGACCTGTTTGACATCCTGCTGCCAATGCTGAACATCTACCAAGAGTTTGTGAGAAACCACCAGTACAGCCTGCAGATCCTGGCTCACTGCAAGCAGAACCGAGACTTCGACAAGCTGCTGAAGCAGTACGAGGCCAAGCCCGACTGCGAGGAGAGGACCCTGGAGACTTTCCTCACCTACCCCATGTTCCAGGTGAGCTCACTGGTCGTACTGATGATATACACAATAAATAAAGGCAAGGCCCATTAGTCTGGAGACAGATTTTGTCATTAATGCTGAGCTCTCACAGCCACTCCGGGCCAAGTTCTTCTCTCCATTGAGAAATGTTTCCCGTGAGCTATATCATTCAACAGCTTAACACTAGTTGGCTAAAGCTTTGCCAATGAAACCCAGTTGTAGCTGTCTGTAAAGCAGTTGCCCTCAAAGACCTGCTTCCTTCCTGAGCACTTATTGGCTCCCTGAATGAAATCCCATATTGTAGCATCTCTGATTAAGAACAGAAACTGCAGATATTTGTGTGCTTTTGCTCAGAGTATCCCTGTAGTGCAGGGGTCTCAAACTCGCGGCCCGCGGGCCAATTGCGGCCCTCGGGACGATATTTTGTGGCCCCATCTTTAATATGAAAGTGTAATGTTAGTGCGGCCCGCAAGTTTTATACTGTAACCCCACTGTCAGCTGCTGTGTGGGACATGTTATGATGTTCTGGTTTCCTACTGTGTGCTTGTCCAGTGAACGTGGCATGCATGTGACTGACATGGGGGGCGGGTCGTGTGTGTCGGCAGAGGTGCAGAGAGCAGGAGGGTGAAATTCAGTTTCCTGCCCTCTTTCGCGCAGGTGATCATGTGACTAACCGTTAGCATCGCTCGTTTAATAAAGTTTTCCTTTACGACTCACACTAACAACACATGAAGCATCTGACGTCACCGACGAGCGTCTCCGTCCATTACTACGCAGCTTCGATTCACGTAACTTCACGTTTGGCTATAAAGGAATTCCACGGTCACATGACCTTAGGTCTCCCCCGCTGAGTTAAAGGAGGACTAGTGTTGTAGTCTCATTCGGACCGATCCCCCAGGGTGGGGTTCAATGACTGCTTTTGAAAGTGAGTGTTAAGTTGTGTTATTGTCGACCATGCCGTTCGAACGCTAGTCTGGCCCGCGTTTGGTTGAAGTGGGCTGCATCTGGCCCGCAGCTGATTTGAGTTTGAGACCCCTGCTGTAGCGTCTTGGTGCCTATAAAAAGCAGCGTTTTGGGGGATCTCAGGCTTCCACAATGTCTCCTTTCTGGCATGCATGCAGTTTCCCAACAGTCCTCTCAGCTGGGGGGCTTCTGCAGGCCGTGCTGTGTTGATAACACATTTTGCTGACGAGTTTAAATTGTGCTCTCCACTGATCTACTTCTCATTAGAGTACATACACGCCAGCACTTGTGTATCCCTTTGTGTGCATCGTTGTTGTTGTTACATTCATGGATGCACGTAAACTCTAATATTTGAGTGAGACTCTGCTGCTATCTTGTTGTCTTCTGCTATTCTGTCTCTTTAGATTCCCCGATACATTCTTACACTCCACGAACTTCTGGCCCACACACCCCATGAACATGTGGAGAGAACCAGTCTGGACTACGCCAAATCCAAGCTGGAGGAGCTTTCCAGGTACTTTTGCGGATTGAAAGTCTATGTTCTAATATTACGATATAATATCAATGGTATATTAACAAAACATCAAAACATTTTTAAGGGATTATCAAGTAAATGTTGAGAAAACTATTCTTCTTTGACCCATAATAACATGCTGAGGTCGTACCATTGAACCATGCGAAGTGCACATGTACAAAAACACATATCTGAAGGTGACCCAGATTATATTATTACCTTTGTTAAATATGATTTATCTCATTACGAATCTGCCGTGTCAACAGTCAGTGGACAATTCTAAGAGAGAATTCAATAAAATCTTTTTAAATCAAACGGAAGATATTTTAAAAATAAAACACACAAATAGAAAATAACATTCACAGTAAAACGTCTTGTGTTCCTTGCATTCTTGTGCCATTCTTTCCCCTAATGCGTTCTACTGGATCACGTACTGTCCTATCTCTGTTGATAGAATCATGCACGACGAAGTAAGCGAGACCGAGAACATCAGGAAGAACCTGGCAATAGAGCGCATGATTGTAGAGGGCTGCGAGATTCTCCTCGACACCAGTCAGACGTTTGTAAGACAAGGTAGGAGTTTCCTTCCAGTGCGTTTTTTATTTTTTCAGATCCCAGCGAAGAAACCTCCAATTCTACAGAAAAGCAGATTTGCAGCAGAATGATTTCCTGTCCTCCCTTACCTTTCCGACAGCCTGATCTCAAATGTTTAGGTCTGTAGTGAGCGGTACATTGCTCTCTGTGGAGCAATGTGTACACGGCGTGAGGATTTCAAAGTCGAATTAGACTGTTCAGAGGCAAACTGATGATGAATCTGGGACTGTAAATGTCACAGATCCCCAGCAGGCCTTGATGGGAAGAATAGATGGGAGGCAGATATGGTAGATTATCTAATCCTTAGCGTCTCATGTGACTCTTGTAGTCATGTATTTATATGTAGAGGAGGGCAAGACAATTTGACATTGCCTATTTTGTTTTTCTCAGTTCCCCCCCCCCCCCCCCCCCCCCAGTTTTTTTACTCATTTCTGCTTTCTTTTCAAATCCCTGATATGCTTGCACTTTTTTTCCACTTAAATATTTGTATTGCTCTTTCACTCATCCCCTTTTATAACACTTTTTAATCCCCACATATAGGGTCTCTCATCCAGGTGCCGATGAGCGAGAAGGGCAAGATCACCCGTGGGCGACTGGGCTCTCTGTCTTTGAAGAAGGAGGGGGAGAGGCAGTGCTTTCTCTTCTCCAAGCATTTAATCATCTGCACCAGGGGTTCTGGTGGAAAGCTTCACCTCATCAAGGTGAGCCAGTGCTGCTGAGCTGGCAGTGGAGCTGCTACTCCTTATTTCAGACATCATGTCTTACCACTGGAAAGAGAAAAAAAAACGGGAACTCTCAGCTAACTTGAACGGATGAACTGACAGAAGATGAAAGCTACAGGGATGGCGACGTCATGAGCTTTTTCAGTGGCAATGATTGCTGGAGTTCCTTAGAGCTCGTACACCCCACCCCCCACCCTCCCCCACCCCCCCCCCACCCCACACACACACGCACACATTTAACAGCAGATTGATGTCAGTATTACTCAGTATTACAAAAGACTAACTAACTTAGTCCAATTAAGACTAACTTAATTGGACTTTAACATGACACAAAAAAGCTTGCGTCCATATTACAGTGAAACTAAGGTATTCTTGTGGGATGTTTTCAACCTGCAAACAGTTGTTTATTAATGCGTTAAGCAATGAAACATTAGCATTCATTTGCAGTCTTAAATCTGTGAGTCTGATTTTGGTCGTTGTCAACTCATGACTGAAATATCAGGCACTCTACTGCCAAATGCTCCGTATTTTAACCAGAAAGTTAATTAATGTATGCGCCTTTGGTGCTGAGCAGGTATTTTGCACATTAACTTTAAAGATCTTTTCACAGAAAAATACTAAAAGAACTAGAACTAGAGTGAACTAGACAGTTATATGAAGAAGAAGAAGAAGAAGAAGAAGAAGAAGAAGAAGAAGAAGAAGAAGATTAGTTAAGGGAAGCTGCAGATTCCAGCGATCATCATGAAAATCTTGATTATGGAACTATAATATTTTTATATGATACTGTTTAATTATTATTGTCGGGGTCAGTAGTAGAATCAAGTTGCCCTCACGCAAACCGAAGGGATTCACCGGAAATAATAATAATAATCAATCAATCAGTGAATAATCTCTTTCTCAATCATTCAGTCAGGGGTCAACTGACTGATGAACCATATTCATTTTGTAGTCTGAATCAGGATCTTAAGAATGTTGGTTGGATGAAACAAAATGCATGTTGCTTTCAGAATGGAGTCGTCTCACTCATAGACTGCACTCTACTGGAGGACCCCGAGGGGACAGACTATGAGAGTGAGTGCTCGATTCAGCTTGCAGAGACATGCATGGATACATGTATCATGTGTGCTAATGGACATAACGTATTTTCATTTTATAATTCATACTGTATTTGGGAGAATTGAAAAAGTGTTTCCGAAGCAGGCAGTGCCACTAGAAAGGAATTCAGACTCTAAACAAACAAATAAATAAATATCAGATGGTGACTGATTAATCCTATTCTTATCCAATTTTGACATTTGGCTTGGTCTAATTTTAGTTTATTGTACAGTATAAAATCCTTCAATGTATGCCTTTTTATGTCTTTACTGTAGTATTCATCATGTGAAAATGACATCCAGTCTTTGTGTTTGCCTCAAAGCCAAATCAGACAAGAGCGGCCAGGACATGGAGCACCTGGACTTCAAGATTGTCGTGGAGCCAAAGGATAGCCAGTCATTCACAGTCATCCTGGTGGCCTCCTCCAGGCAGGAGAAGTCTGCGTGGACCAGTGACATCAGCCAGGCACGTCAACATGCATCACAGTCTCCAGCACTGGGACGGATGTCGGCGGAAAGCCTGCGCGTTACAGTGGTCACTAACATTTCCTCTGTCCTCTCTGTCTACTTCTACCGCGTCCGTCTCACAGTGCATAGACAACATCCGCTGCAATGGGCTGATGATGAACGCCTTTGAAGACAACTCCAAAGTCACAGTGCCGCAGATGATCAAGTGGGCCTCGTTCATATTTACAGTGTATGCATCTGTTTGCAGCTTTTTGTTTTTCTTCCCGGCATTCATTTCCAATTTCTTTCAATTTCCTGAGCAGATCCGATTCAAGTCTGTACTGCGATGACGTCGACATCCGCTTCAGCAAGATGATGAACTCCTGCAAGGTGCTGCAGATCCGCTACGCCAGCGTTGAGCGCCTGCTGGAGAGACTGACTGACCTCCGTTTCCTCTCCATTGACTTCCTCAACACCTTCCTACACTCCTATCGCGTGTTCACCACCGCTGATGTGGTGCTAGACAAACTCATCACTATCTACAAGAAGCCCATCAGTGCCATCCCTGCTCGGTGAGTCGAGTTACATGCGGAAGGGTTTGAATGTTGGGAGGCTGTTGACGGCAGTAACAGTAGAGAGACCTTATTAGATTTGTCTGTCATCCCTCCAGACGTTATGTTGCTGATCTAAATGATCAGTGATCCTCACATCAACATAATGAAGTAATGTGCAAGAGGCAAGAGAAGAGATTTCAAGCAATACAACTTTTTGTCCTTCTGTTCTCATCAGAAATGTATTTATTTTATTTACATATGCTGAAGGTTAGTTTCACCTGAGGAACTCAGATGCTGTTCACAAACAGCATAACACAAGAATACATCAGAAACTTGGAGATGTTAATGGCTGGGAAAGACTTCAGGAAAGTTGCATCAATATGAATAACATTTTTAAATGGACACATGATGGATTACCATGCGCTGGCTGTGGTATTTGGTCTGTGATAGATAGATAAACACATCATTTAGTGTCCAGTTCCTGCCAGTCCAAGGTCATACCAAAGAGATACATTTACATTTTGGATTGTTTGGAGGGCGAAAAGTGAGTCCGGTGCTCAGGGATATTTGATGTATGCATTCCATGTGAGAGAGTTCATGAAAATGAACTAATGTATATGGCACTGGAACAGTGAAGTCCAGGAATCTTCAAAGCCTTGTTTCAGTATTTTGGGTATTTGTTTTGATGGTTAATGTGACCACAGAAAGGCATCAGATGGAGCAGTAGATAGAAGACACGTTCTCGGATGCTTCAGTATCACCGTTTTTGTGTGTTTTATGTGTGTGTGTCCAGTGATCAAAGGCCGTAATTGGGCCCAGTCTCTCCTCCCTGTCTGGGAGCATCACTACTGGGCTCTATCGCTCTATGGCAACCGACCTCGACTGCTGCAGGACCCCACCCTCCCCTGCTCCATCTCCTCCGTCTGCAAAGATCCACAGTGTGAAATATTGACAAAGTGTTGCAGGGAGGCTAACTCGCTGCTCCGCAGGCCTGGAGCGAAGGACTTCACTGTGGGGTTCATATCACAGGGAGCTCCCCATGCCCACGCCCCGTAGCATCCGCTCCTGTGGCGCTTGTCATGTCACTGTGAGACACCTACACTTGGCTGCTTGTGTCACCAGCAGTCATGCGCACTATCACTCTGTGTGCTATTTATGGGAACCTGTGAGGTCGCCAGGAGGGTGGCAGGGAGAGGTTTTCTGCAACACCGCAGCTTGTATCCTGCTGTAAAACAACGAGACGCGGCTCCAAAGAGACTTCTGGTTACCGGGATGGCTTGGGTTGCATAAATTATTTAGGAGGTGACTTTAGCCATGCTTTAATCACAGAAAATAAGAAAGAAAGATATTTCAATGTCCTGAATTCAAAAGCATATTTCCTCTCCTCGCTGCAGGTCCCTGGAGTTATTCTTTGCCAGCAGTCAGAACAGTAAACTGTTGTATGGAGAACTTCCCAGCTCCCCCAGAGCCAGCAGAAAGTTGTCTTCCCCACCTCCTCTCGCTATCACCAAGAACTCATCCCCCAACCGCCGGCGCAAGCTCTCCCTCAACATCCCCATCATCACTGGGGGCAAAGCGCTTGATCTGGCTGCCCTCAGCTGCTCCTCAAATGGCTATGCAAGCATGTACTCAACCATGTCTCCATTCAGCAAGACCACCTTGGACATCAACAAGCTTTACGTGTCCAGTTCCATCTCAAGCAAAATCCCTGACGAGGGAGAGTACAAGAAGGACAAAGTGGAGGATCCATCAGTGACCAAGCAAGGTGAGTGAACAGGAGCCATCACCAAAGTATTCCAATTTTGATTTCAAGGAATTAGGCTTTCATTGATGATTTCATTTTGATGCAGATCTCTCCGTACGAGAAGAAACTGACAATGATCCCAACCAGAGTGATGAAGGGCACCAGGAAGCCTCTCCCACCAAATCCCCAACCACGCCAAAAAACATCAAATGCAAAAACCCTGCAGGTACATTGTGTCCTAAACTGGAACAGTGATATAGTGACGACGCTGTGCGCCAACATGCTACTAATCCAATGTACCAGTTCAATTAACCTTAAGCCAGTTTATTATTAGTTTTCTGTGACCGAAGAAGCAGACTAAATGTAAAGACATGGCAAACCGTTTCATTTGTATTCATGTAAGGTCTGTAAAATGGCCACAATTTATAGTCAACAAGTTATACAATGGTTTGTTTTGTATGGAAATTGATGCTTTCACTTTGCAATAGTTAATTGAATCCTAATTTATATGCTAAAACAAACAGAAAAACAACCGTCAATTCAATATTGAAAACAAACTAATTCATGGTGATGGTCACGTGGGGAAAGCCAATGCCTGCCGTCTGTAGGTGTGAGGGAAACTTGTGTCATAGCAACTACATAAAGAGCGTGTTTTCCCTTCCGCCCCCACTAATGAGGCTGATTCACAGGAGCCAAGATTATCTCTGCCTTCTAAATCTCATGACAAAATCACACAATGGAGTTTAAAGGAATCAATAATGTGGAGTAAAGAATTAACTGAAATTGTGAAGCAGCGAGTGCTTAGCTGCTTATAATCAATCTATGTTCCCGGGATTTAAACATAGCAGACTGCAGAGAATCTGTGGATTCTTCTGTTATGCTGATATTCGGTGGCTATATTTAGCTGCAACCATCTTGAATATCAAAGCCTGTTGTAAAGGAGAGTCTGGGGGGGGAACTCTAACGTGGGCTCATAGTGCCTCCTAGTGGATGTTTTCACAAAAAGAAGGAAGTCATTCTGCAGACAGTAAAGATTTAGTTGAACTCAGTGATACAAGCAATGAACTAACAAAACTTTTCAGTAAAAAATTATGTCCTTTGCTTACCAGCAAAATCAAACTGTTTTCTCTTTTCCTTTTTATTTTTATTTGGACCTTCGGGTAGAATTCTCCCTTTTTTCCTACAACAATGGCATGGTGATGTCCTCCTGTCGAGAGCTGGATAACAACCGCAGCGCTGTGTCTGCCACCTCGGCCTTCGCCATTGCTACGGCTGGAGCCAATGAGGGCACACCGACCAAGGAGAAGTATCGCCGGATGTCCCTCGCCAGTACTGGTACAAGCATCTATTCACTGTTCCATTAGTTTCAGCCACAAGTGAACATATTGGTTACGTTAAAACCACGTCAGCTCAACTGATGTTAGATTTATGGGACCCGTTGATGCTCTTTGCTGCCAAAGTTGTAATGTATCCCATGGATGAGAGCTTGATGCACTCACATGTTTTCTGCAGGCTTCCCAACAGATCAGAGGAATGGAGACAAAGAATTTGTGATCAGACGAGCAGCGACCAACAGAGTCCTGAATGTTCTGAGGCACTGGGTGTCCAAACACTCTCCGGTAAGGGTGTCCAATACATTTCAAAGCCCAATTACAGCCCCAGGTCTTGTTGGAAAACTACTATTGTCTATAAATGCATATACTAACTTTATCTTTTCATATTGAATCTGTAAGTAAGCTTTTGTAGCAGTGAAACACACATTTCTGCTGTATTTGTGTTTGTCCGTGTTTCTGCAGAGAACCCAATACATTTTGGTTCAATATCAAACTCGATTTCCGACTGTCAATCAGTCCCAAAACAATAATGTCATAAGAAATAAAATGAAAACACATGTCCCAGGACACCTTTGGCCACCCCAAAGCCAGTTGCTGGATGTATCGTATCCATGTGCATCACCTGATTTCTATTTGCCAAAATGTTTTATGCAAAACCAGTTTTCATCACATAATACAATTCACACGGATGCTTTTCTTTGTGGACTGTTTTCCAACAATCGTCTGTTGCTTCTGCAGGACTTTGATAACAACAATGAGCTGAAGACAAAGATAATTGTTTTCCTGGAAGAGGTGATGCATGACCCTGAGCTGTTGACTCAGGAGAGGAAAGCAACTGCCAACATCATCAGGTACCGTGTTGTGCGGTTTGATTGTCGGAATATTTTGTACACTTAAAATTTGAAAGAACTATATTGTAGAATTACATTGACCGCTTTTTTCAGGACTTTAACTCAGGAAGACCACGGTGACAATCAGATCACCCTCGCAGACGTTACACAGGCGGTGAGTTAAGACCGCTTTTAATAAAGGTTTAGTGTGCTGTTTTTAAAACTACTGAGAAACAAAATCTTAAAAAATGTAATTTAAAATAAAGCACAAATATATGCACATCTGTACAAGTCAACCAGAAGCATGCACATTACAGCTGCTTATTTTCCTCTGTGTTCTCTTCTTGGATGCCCAAGAAATATTCTCCTTTGCGAGGCTGAATAAAGAATCTCTGTCCTTAGAAAATTGCATGATTGATTCCTTGCATTACTGCAGATTAAATTTCCATCAGTAAAATAATCAAATTCATCGACAAGTAGTTTGAGCTCTAATCCACATCATCTGAAAATTACATTTGCACACTTGAAAGGAAATTTCGAGGTCTAATTTGGACATTTATCTAGCAAAAGAAAGTCCAGCCATTAACCCGTTACCTTGACTGATCCAGGGCCAGCGTGCGTGGTGCAGCAGGCCTAAAATGTTCCTCTAACCACCAGGCAAGCCAAAATCAATAACCTCTCTGGCAAATTCTACTTTAGGCCCTTTTACGTCTTGGACGTGCCCAGAAACCTCTCAGGCAGATTTCCTGATCAGTTTCCCAACCACTACAGCTTGCCCTTTTTGATCCAAAACAGCAACGGCTCTACTCCGACCGATTCTTCCCGTCGGCAGTGGGGCTCATCAACAGAGCCCGGTCCCCCACTGACTGACTATAACACTCCACCGGTCACTCCCCCTCATACTGCACATGCCACTTTAACTGCAATTCATCACTTTGTCACTTGTCACTTTGTCTCTTGTCTGTTACTTGTTTGTTAGTGCACTTTATGCTTAATACTTTTCTTTTTAACTTTTTAATATTTAACTTTTTTTAACTTTATTCCCTTGTTTTATACTAACCCATAGCCTTATTCTACTAACCCATTGCATTAGCATTTCATTTTACTTTATTTTATTACTTGTGCACTGCTGTCTTGTCTGTCTACTGTCGCGCACTAACCGCCAAGACAAATTCCTTGTATGTTTGACATATTTTGGCTAATAAATGTTTCCTGATTCCTGATTCCTGATTTTCCGTCCTATCGCTGAGACTTAGTCCACCTTACACACAATCTCCTTCTTGGGTAGCTATTCAAGGCTCATGACCAAGGGTGGAACCACGCATCCTTTGGGGGGGTCGTGTGTCCCCCAATATTGAAAAAAGCCATCATAGCGAAGAATGAAATACACTGATTGTTTTCGGGCCGTTTTGTTTCTCTTAGATGGGTGAAGGCAAGGTCGAGCAGTTTGAGAGTCACTCTGCATTGGAGATCGCAGAACAACTCACTCTGCTGGATCACCTGGTGTTTAAGGTCATCCCATACGAGTGAGTGCCATCACATCTTTGCTCTACATGTCTGTGGTCAAGAACAACACTGGGAAACGATCCAGTGTTCAAATACAACTGTTCATTCTGTTCAAAGGGAATTTTTTGGACAAGGCTGGATGAAGAATGACAAAAACGAAAAGACACCGTACATCATGAGAACAACGAAGCACTTCAATGATGTATGTTCCAATCAGTACCTTACACACCTCAGGTGTTAGTGATCGTCAAATGGTAATATTAAGTATTTGTTTCCTTCTTTCCTCTGCAAGATAAGCAACCTTATTGCCACGGAGATCCTGCGCTGCGATGACGTGGTCCCTCGGGTGTTCGTCATAGAGAAATGGGTGGCTGTAGCAGACATCTGCCGCTGTCTCCACAACTACAACGCCGTGCTGGAGATCACCTCCTCCCTCAACCGCAGCTCTGTCTTCCGTCTCAAGAAGACCTGGCTCAAGGTTTCCAAGCAGGTGTGTATCTCCTCCAGTGCAGTTTGTCCAGGTGTGTGTTTTTTTTCCATCATTGACTGTCATCTCGATATCCCTTTCTGCAAGACAAAAGCATTGAATGACAAGCTGCAGAAGCTGGTGTCGTCAGAGGGGAGGTTCAAAAACCTGAGAGAGGCTTTGAAGAAGTGAGTTCAACTCAAGGACATCGTTTTGTAGTTTGATCAATGAAGCAAGCTTGCGGTACAACTGGGTGATGTGTGCATTTCTTCCCCCACCAGTTGTGATCCTCCGTGCGTTCCCTATCTGGGGATGTACCTCACAGACCTGGCTTTCATTGAGGAGGGAACACCCAACTACACTGAAGACAGATTGGTCAACTTCTCAAAGATGAGAATGGTGAGATATTCGGTGACCCGACGCATGGCAGAGTTTGTACAGTCGTGTCTTTTAGTGGTGTGTCTTAACATCCTGCCGCTAATGTTTTGTTTTTCAGATTTCTCACATCATCAGAGAAATCAGGCAGTTTCAGCAAACCGCGTACAAAATTGACCTGCAACCAAAGGTAAATAAATACCAGAACTGTTGACGGTCCTTCAGGCTCGTGGCACTTTAATAAATGCTGTACCAAATGCAGAGCTCCTCTTATGAGCGCAGGGGAACTTAAAGGTCTTTTCAAGAGCTCATCAGAGATATCTGCTCCTCGGGCACTCGGAAGCAGAACCAGGAGGAGAAATAGAGTCAACAGAGCAAAATCCCAAATTAGCCTGAGGGAGTTTGACAATATATTTATCTTATAACAGCCTCTATCCTCAATGCCTAGACCCTCGTTTGTTTTATTAAATGCCTTGATTTCATCAAACACAACCTCAAGTCATCAATCTATGCTTCTCAGTTTTTACAATGTTTTTTTCATAAAATGATTTTGTATTACATAAATATCGTTTTTAATGAATTTCCATCCTATTGACAGTAATGTGTTGTAGCCACTTGGTGGTGGTGCTGATGTCCTGACCAAATTATGCAGAAACTACCCTGATTGCAAGACTTCAGATTTTTTAAAAACGATATATACAACATAAATTTGATGTCTTTTTCTTACATTTCTGTCATTTCGTTTACTATGGGAACAGTAAGGATACTGTATGTGGATAGTTTTACTCTTCCGCTCCCCTCTGTAAACGATTAAGATCATGAGATGATCCTGTCAGAATCTTTACAAATGATAGACAAATGGTACTGATTATGATACTCATACTCATTGCCTTATTTAAAGGGGTCATAAAGCAAACTTTTGGAAACAGCGTACATAGATAACTAGAAAATGCATTTCCTGCTGAAAATGCGTTGGAATGCCAAAAAATACAGAAAATACAGAAAGTTGAAGGGAATTTTAATACATTTGCTGAAATTACAGATATTAGAAAAGCTAAAAATAATTTGAAATCGCTGAAAATACAGAAATGAGAGAAGCGGAAAGGAATTTCCATAGATTTGCTGAAAATAAAGAAATGAAACAACTATAGAAGAAAGAATATCAAAATATTGATGAAAATACAGACATCAGAAAAGCGGTGGAAATACAGAAATGGAAGAATCGGAGAAATGGAAATGGGAGAAGCTGAAATGAATTTCAATAGATTTGCTGAAAACAGCTGAAACAATTGCAGAAAAATACAGAAATGAATATTAAAACATTGCTGTTAATACAGGCATAAGAAAAGCTGAAATTATTTGAAAGAACTGCTGAAAATACAATAGAACAACAATAACAACAGAATTTCTAAAAAATACAGAAGTTGCAGGAGCCTTAATGAATTTAAAAAATACAGAAATAACAAAACCTAAGATGAATAAAAAGAGGTTTTAAATTGTTTGTAGTAATATTAGTAGTAGTAGTAGTTACAGTTTTAATTGTGGTATTTGTAGTACTAGCAGTAGAAGAAGTAATAGTAGGTTTAGTATCAATAGCAGTAGAACCAGCTGTAATACTAACACTATTAGCCATAGTAGTATTTGTAATAACATTAGTAGTAGTTGTAGTATTAATAGCACTAGAAATGCTAGTAGTATGGTTGTAGAAGTATCAGTTGTAGTACTACTAGAAGTACTAGTAATATTCGTAGTGGTCTTAGTAGTATTTGAAAGAGCAATACGTATTTCAACGAAACCGCTTCATGGTTATGGTACAGATAATCATTGAGGCTTTTATTTTGTAATGATGGAATCGGGTGAGGGGGGGGTTGGGAGACAGAATGTTTGTTATTCAAACTAAGACGTTTTTAATTAATAGGCCTCATCACAAACATTACAGTAAAAAATCCCTCCATGGGGCTTTTATTTTGAAATTATTGGATTGGGTGGGGTGGGGGGGTGTAGATAGAGGGAGGGAGGGTGAGAGGGTGAGGAAGGGAGGGGTGGTGAGGAAGAGATAGAGGGAGAGAGAGAGGAGGAGAAATAGACAGACAGACTGACTGAGTGATTAACAGTGAGTAGAGGTCAGGGTGGAGGGGGGAGGGGGGCGAGTGTCTTTATCATATTGGTCTGTTGACAGAAAGCATAGCTGCGTCATGTGACTCCACTAATCAGGTCATAGGAGCAGCTGTGAGTCACAGACATAGATCCTGCAGCGTGTGAGCGAGTAACCACGGCAACGACGCACCTGTGCTCATTAACGAGCTGCTGCAAAGGGCAGACACAGGACAGCGAGTTACACAGAATGCACACCTCAAACAAATCAGAACCAGCGCAAAACTATAACAGCTATCTAAAAAATACGTTGTTTTGACGAGACCCAAGACTCTACCGAACGCATGGATGTGTTTTTTATGTCTGTGCGGTAATAAATACGGCTCCTATGGCCGTCGACAAAACGTGTACCTTCTGGATTTTTGTGAGAAATATGTCAGCAGATTTGTATTGGAGCCTATGGGGCTTTTAGCAGAGGTTGTGTGACTGTTGGTCTCCGTAGGCCAAAACTAAAGAACTCTGGGATTCTATGAACACATTAATCCAATCAGCACAACCATGCCCTCATTAATCTGAAGAAATGAAGCCTCTAGAGTGTATACTTTGGCTGCAAGGACAGATGTTCCATATTTTTTTAACCAGATTCTGGCGCTGCCTCACACTCTAGCCCTCGAGGTCCCCACTCTAGCAGACGCAATACACACTCATGTAAAAGTCAGAAACGGAGCGAAGAACTAGTGAAAAATTTCACTTTCAGTTTTTTTCATAAAATAGTTGAGACCTGTGTCAACATTTGAAAGTTGAAATGGTGTCTGTAGCTGAAAGATTGGTGGAGCTGAAATATCTGAAAGTTGAAGAAGTTTAAGGAGGATTTGAAAACCACGTTAAAATATTAATGATTATTGATTTATATAAATTTAAGCTTAAGAGGTAGAAAGCTGAAAAGTCATAGCCCTGAAGCCAGAAAGGAGCTGAATATTTTAAAATTTGAACGGTTTAAATGGCTGAAAATGTGAAGGAGTTGAAGGGGGGCGCGGAAGAAATAGAAGAAGAAGCTGAAGAATAAAGATTCGAAGAACAATACTTGGAATGCATAATGCATTCCAACAATAAGTATAAGTTGAAATTAAGATTCGAAGAACAATACTTGGAATGCATCTTAATGCATTCCAACAATAAAGATTCGAAGAACAATACTTTCCAGCATTCCAACAATGAATGATTTATTGCTGCTATACCTATTTCGTGTTGATGGAAAAGTGTGATAATCCATTTTAACGAGACAAAATTTATCAAACTTGCTTTTGTTTTATCTTTTATCTTCCAGGTAGCCCAGTATCTACTGGATAACAGCTTTGTTCTGGATGAAGAAAGCATGTACGAAGCCTCTCTCAGAATTGAGCCTAAAGTGCCCAATTGAAGTTGGTTATCCACATTATTTCCTCTGTTAATATTACACATAAGTTAAGACATGCATTGACTTTTGTGTAGTTGTACATGTTTAAGATATCTTATCTTCTGTACAGTATGTGTTTAAGGTATATTTTTCGTTTATTACTGTTGCCATGACGCAGGTTTAAGGTTTATTTTTTTCTTGCATTTGGGGTATTTCAAGCATAATAACAGAGGTCCCTTTGCCTGCATGTAATCTTCTTAGTGACCAATGACATTATTTTGCATTATATCATACTGTGTTGACTTTGCACTTTCTGAGCACCCGTTGGCCGTTGTTCTCTTTGCCTGAGGTGCATCAATGACTGAGTTTCTCTGCAACCAATGTAGCATTATAAAAATTTAACAGCGTCATATCAGGTAAAATACCACACAGAGTATAACTGGATATAAACATACGAAACAATGTGAGGTGCAGTGAGGCACCAAAAGTAAAACTGTCTCTATGATTCCAAAAACAAGAGGGATTTATGTTTTAATGTATGTTCTCTACTCCAAAGTCAGATGTTTCTAAGTGTATTTTTTTCTTCTAACAGTATCCTTATGGACTGGCCCATGGCTGGCTCGAAAGCAATACACTCTTCCTCTCTTGTCACACAAGGAACTGAAACAAATATTTATCTGTGATAAAAACAGACTAAAACTCTTTAGGTTGTTGTGATTAATGTGAAGTATTTGACATCTGAAATTACTGTTACACTTAAATATATCAATAGAGTACAGTGATTTCTACCTGTCTTCAAATTTAATGTTTCTTAATAAAAAAAAGATCACATGCGTTGGAAGGTGTTGTATCTTCAGGTATTTGAAGGCAATATCATAGGCAATGATTCTGTTGAGTAAAAGGTTTTGTAATTAAAAGACAATCTGTCCTTTTTGCTGTTCCAGTGATTGTGGAACGTGACTGTATATCACTCTGTTATATGCATTGCTGTTTAAAACTGATGAAACGTACGTGAATGACCTCTGCCTGCAGCATTCAAACACTATTTTTGTAGTAGTATAATAGAGTACCTTGCTCTTTATATGGATATGGAAAAGTATTTTGTACTTTGTTGTTAATTCACCTCACTGAGATGTGCTGTATGTTTTGTACATGCAAACAGTGTGGAACAGTGTAATCCTTTCAACAGCAAAAAAATAAGTTGTAACTCAAACTTGTACACTAAAAGCTACAACAGTGTGGCTCTGAAACTATGATTTAGAGAAGACCACCTCAGAGTGTTTTGCATTAATACTGTTATCCTGTCTATAACCATTTCTGTTAGCAGGAATATAGTAATGTAGTGCTTATTCTGTAAATATTTGTATGTAATTTCTACAATGTATTTACAGTACACTGTTGAAGCTCATGTGGTAGGCATGCAACACCTTCACAGACCAAATAATACTATATAATTATACTGTATACATGCACATACTCTTATAAAGGTATATCAACAAATAAACATTTTGCTGTTAGCAATACCCAGTGGTATGAAAATTATCTTTCAACCCTCATGTTTCCACACCGTAAGAATATTGCAAGTTTTGTAAGAAAACAAAGGAAAACACAACAAAAGTTAACATATGATGATGACAATAACAAATAAACAAGAATATGTTCCCAGTAACCTCTTGCTAATAAATCCATTTGATATCAGGGGCATTTTGTCTCAAGTGTTTTTGTAGACACCTTTGTTTTGTTGACATCATTATGACTCAGAGTGAAACTAAATAAAATCGGTGTGTATTTGACAACCCAAGCTTTGCTATGTCCTATAACAAATCATGATGAAGCCCACAGTGAACTAAAGTCTAAATTTTGGTAATTGGCCTCCCATTACTTATGTAGCTTACGTATGTATGGCAGCGGTATGTCACACTGTCGATGTGTAGCAGGTGTATTAGTTATAAAGAAGTTACCTCCAGTGAAAACTCCCTATCATTGTTACCTAGCATCAATGCACAGTGTGCATATCCAACAATTACAATGGCCTTTTGTTTGTTGAGTCTTTTTTTCACAAATATATTCCAGCTGTCTGCGTGGTGCCCAAATATGATGGATGATAGATATGAGAATGGTATCTTGCTTGATTACATAAAAAACTAGAAAGATATTACTTTCATGATAATCTAAGCTTTCCCACAATTATGATTTAGTATCTCATAGTTATGAATTGGCATTCATAATTAATCATTCCTTTTTTTTCAAAATTACTCCTCAGAGGATCCATTGTACCTCAGTGGTAGAGATGTGCATCCAAGAAAGTGAGCAGTGCACATCAACATTTAAATTTGTATCCTTTTGTGATTTGTAGGATTAACTTTATTTTACAGAATCTCAAAATAAGGTTTAAAACTGGACCATTGCATTAAGAATATGTGACAGTAGAAGCAGAAAATATCTGCTGAGACTATTTTTTTTGGTTCAAAGGCCTCAGTTAAATACGGAATATAAGTCCAGCTACAGCAACTATTTGGGCTTGAATTCAATTACAATACTGCGTTGTTGCCCCTGCGACACGTATTGACCTCCCAGTCTCAGACGCTGGATGAAAGTTGACGTCTTCCATGTCGTAAGACTACATTTCCCAGAATCCTCTCCCCTGTTCCATCTCGACCAATAAGGAAGAGATTGTGGAATAGGCGCAAAATCCGTTGTCAGTCTGGATGTGTCGCACTCCTGAAGGGAGTAAATTGTGTCATTCTCAGTTGATAGATAACACTTTGAAAGCTTAATGAACTTTTACTTGATGCAACGTCTCGTTTCGTTGGCATTCTGTGTCACGAGCAATGCGGAAGACACCCGCTTTAACTGAGCACACAGCTGCAACAAGCTCGCAGTGTCCAGCGCAGCCTCTGTTTCACCGACAAAGTCTTGTCTTCCACAAAACAACTTGAAGGAGCAGCTGGCGAGGCACAGCAATGCTGCTCAGAGCAAGTTGTCTCTGGCTAAACCCAAACCGGGGTAAGTCCGACGTTACTGAAGCTAACGTTAGCTTACAGTTAGCTGTGCGCTGTCAGCTGTGCTAACCGAACGCTAAACACTCGGAGGCACGTTAGCCTCGTGGGAGGTAACGTTGACTCAATGTGCTACAAGCGTTGCTGTTTACAAGAGAGGTCACGCGTCTCGATACGAACATGTTGAGCTCATCGATCCGTTTGGCATTCAGTGTGATAGTGTGAACTGCTAGGTGGGAGTGGTCGCAGGGTCCTGAAGTCTGAATTTGTAACGGTTGTGTCAACTAATTGTTGGAATGCATTTAGATGCATTCCAAGTATTGTTCTTCGAATCTTTAATCAACTTATTCTTCTATTTCTTCCGTGGCACCTTTCAACTCCTTCACACTTTCAGCTATTAAAATCCTTCAAATATTAAAATGTTCAGCTCCTTTCTGGCTTGAGGGCTATGACTTTTCAGCTTTCTACCTCTTATGCTTGAATTTATATAGCATAAGCATAGCAGAATTTAACATGGTTTTCAAATGGAGTTTGTTTTCAAATCCTCCTAAACTTCTTCAAATTTCAGATTTTTCAGCTTCACAAATCTTTCAGCTACAGACACCGTTTAAACTTTCAAATGTTGACACAAGTCTCAACTATTTTATGAAAAAAACTGCTTGTTGATATCTATTGTACTTTTTTCATAATCACTGATTATGTTTCACTAGTTCTTCGCTCCGTTTCTGACTTTTACATGAGTGTGTATTGCGTCTGCTAGAGTGGGGACCTCGAGGGCTAGAGTGTGAGGCAGCGCCAGAATCTGGTTAAAAAAATATGGAACTTCTGTCCTTACAGCCAAAGTATACACTCTAGAGGCTTAATTTCTTCAGATTAATGAGGGCATGGTTGTGCTGATTGGATTAATGCGTTCATGGAATCCCAGAGTTCTTTAGTTTTTGCTTAAGGAGTGTTAGAGTGACACAACCTCTGCCAAAAGCCCCATAGGCTCCAATACAAATCAGCCGACATATTTCTCAAAAGGTACACGTTTTGTCAACGGCCATAGGAGCCGTATTATTACCGGACAGACATAAAAAGCACATCCATGCGTTCGGCAGAGTCTTGGGTCTCGTCAAAACGCCGTATTTTTTAGATAGCTGTTATAGTTTTGCGCTGAATGTCATTTGTTTGAGGTGTGGATTCTGTGTAACTCGCTGTCCTGTGTCTGTCCTTTGCAGCAGCTCGTTAATGAGCACAGGTGCGTCGTTGCCGTGGTTACTCACTCACACGCTGCAGGATCTCTGTCTGTGACTCACAGCTGCTCCTATGACCTGATTAGTGGAGTCACATGACGCAGCTATGCTTTCTGTCAACAGACCAATATGATAAAGACACTAGCCCCCCCTCCACCCTGACCTCTACTCACTGTTAATCACTCAGTCAGTCTGTCTGTCTATTTCTCCTCCTCTCTCTCTCCCTCTATCTCTTCCTCACCACCTCTCCCTTCCTCACCCTCTCACCCTCCCTCCCTCTATCTACACCCCCCCACCCCACCCAATCCAATAATTTCAAAATAAAAGCCCCATGGAGGGAATTTTTACTGTAATGTTTGTGATGAGGCCTATTAATCAAAAACGTCTTAGTTTGAATAACAAACATTCTGTCTCCCACTACGAATATTACTCATACTTCTAGTACTACAACTGATACTTCTACTACCATACTACTAGTATTTCTACTGCTATTAATAATACAACTACTACTAATGTTATTACAAATACTACTATGGCTAATAATGTTAGTATTACAGCTGTTTCTACTGCTATTGATACTAAACCAACTTCTACTGCTAGTACTACTAATACCATAATTACAACTATAACTACTACAGCTAATATTACTACAAACAATTTTAAACCTCTTTTTATTCATCTCAGCTTTTGTTATTTCTGTACTTTTTAAAATTCATTTAAGCTCCTGCAACTTCTGTTTTGTTTTGCAATATTTCACATTTCAGCTGTTTTCATTTCTCCTTTTTCAGCAAATCTATTGAAATTCCTTTCAGCTTCTCCCATTTCTGTATTTTCAGCAATTTCAAATTCATTTCAGCTTTTCTAATATCTTTTATTTCAGCAAATGTATTAAAATTCCCTTCAACTTTCTGTATTTTCAGCTGGTTTAAAAAGTTAATTTCAGCTTTCAGTTTTTTGCATTCCAACGCATTTTCAGCAGGAAATGCATTTTCTAGTACTAAAATGAGGTCTTAATTGGCAGATCACTTTTTCATAATTTCGCACTGATTTATTTTTCACGGCCTTTTTTTTCAAGAAGTCCTCCTCGACTACACCCAGGGTGGAAGTCCCAACCAAGGTAATCGGAGCTAATGTTTTGGCAAACAGGAATGTCAATGTCTCTAAGAACAATTTGGTGATTAAATCTCATTTGACATTCCCAAACAAGCTCGAGAGACCACAAAAATTCCAAATCAGCAATTTCTTCCCTGTAAATTCAAAAAGCAAGTCCGGCTCCATCAGCCCGGCAGGTAACCGTGATCCTGCAGGCCAGACTCCTGCAGCAGTGTCTTCTATTCCACACAACCAGTTTACTGGTGGCAATGGAAGGAATTCCATAAGTCTGGATACTTCTCTGGGATTCCCGATGGGTGACTGGGACGATCTCGATGACTTTGAGATCCCTGTCAAAAATGACTCTGGGGTGAGCGCCAACCAAGTGTCGTTGTTTAATGAAGAGAGAGTACAATCATCTCTCACGAAGCGTCCGTTGAGCAACTGCTTTGAAAACGTAAATGGCCTTTCCAGAAGTGAACAATCTTTTATGGAAACGGACGAGCTGGAGCACCAAGTCCGCAACACAGCAGCTTCACCAGAACAGTGTTTGAATAATGAACCAGCGGAGTTTGAGCTTGACGTTTCACCACTTAAAGCGACCAGAAAACGTCCTCCTGGTCACCGGAGGCCCGTTATGAGTGATAGTGAAGAGGACAACGATGATGGGCTGGAGCCTTTCAAAACAAAGACGGTATGAAGCTGTTTGTTACACAATTTGTGATTTATTTGCACGTTGCTGGGCTGATATAGGTCTAGGAAGCATTGCCTTTTAGTGCAAACGAACAAAAAAAGGCTATGTTTTTGTATTTTAGATGACGAGACTATATGGACTGACCCGAAGGTGATACAGCTCTATGACAACTCCGATCCTGAAGATGATCTTGATTACATTCCTCCTTCTCCAATTCCGGATGAGATATCTTATACTACCTCCGCATTGGAGACCAGGTCAGTTCTTTCAATTTGTTATTTATTTTAATAAAATGTTATTATGGAGTGGACAATGGAGTGCTCCACATGTTAAGCATGGCACTCTTCGACAACAGGCATTTAAAAAAAACATCTGTATTACTGGAATTACCGTAGGTGCATATGTTTTGACCTGGATATTACTTCAATTAGACCTAAAAGAGAATTTAACAAACAAAAGTGGGACGTCATTTGTCTTTTTTTTTTTTTCAAACAGATCAAAATCATTTGATGCCAAAAGCAGAGACAGTTGTGTGCAATCAAAAGGACCCATCGCCACTCTACACGCCTCGTCTGATCACCACTCCAACGACAAAACAAGTGGGTGTTGAGCCTTTTTCTCACTTGTCCACATCATGTACTTATTTTTACTTAGTAAAGGTTGACTCTGTTTTTTGTCCTTGTTCATTTTTTTCTTTATTTTTTTCTTCTGATTACGTCACAGACGAGCAACTCTTCAGCATTATGCAGTGCATTTGTTCTCTGGTCGATTCCATCCCTGAACATGAAGTGATCGGTCTGTCCTGTGGCAGTGAGCTTTTGCTGAAGAGGGCTCAAAGGTCTGTATACAAGGGGAACATTCATTTTGTTATTGGTCATTAAACACAATTATATTTTAAATTCTAAATGTATTTATCAGCACACTTGCTAACATCCTGCCTTTCTTCCCCAGGAAGAGAATTCTTGCCACTGGGGGTTGCAATTCATTGAGCATGCAGCAGCCAGACAGCACTGTGATTTCTGACTGCAGCCTTAAAATAAGATCTTCTTTTAGCTGTGATACGTCTAGTGTTATGTCATCCAGCGGCTCCGGCCCTTCGGACTCAAAGAAGCCTCCTCAGATCAGGAGATCTTCAGTCATCTCTGTGGACGATGGTTGTGATCACTCAGACGGTATCACCAACACGAAGCCGTCGTATAGTAGGAAAAGCGGAGCGGATCATGCGACAAATCAGAGTATCTGTGACTCCCCATCAACCCACAGCCTGACGGGGCTGTCTTTTTAATTCCTCTAAGAAATCGGGGTGATGGTTCAGATCGCTTGTTCTTCCCAAAGAAGCCGGAGACTGTTGTTCAGAGCAAATCTAACACTCCGGCAGCCAGTACCGCAACGGAAGACGTCGAACTAGATGACTTTTACAATGACTACTTTGACATTGACGACATCAATGACTCCGATGTGCCCAGTTACTTTGACGAACCCTCAAACTCCAGCACTGTGGCTTCGACAGCGAAAGATCTGCGATCATGCGAGTCTCCGTGGGGGAACAAACCAACGACTCCTGCACCTGCACCTAAGCCTGCAAAGATCTGCTCCCCTGGTACGTGGCTACAGCCGAAAGAAAGACCTTGGCCTGTACTTAGCAAATGTCCTTAAAGATTCTCAGAACAATGCATAACAAAGAAAGATTTTAGCCGGTGAATTGCAGTGAATTTAGAGTTTTAAAAGATCAAGATTGTAGTCTGTAATTTGTATCCCACTATAAAACATTTTCTGTAATTGTAGAAGTAGTTACTTTTCTCACTAACCTTGCCAGTCTAATAGTTTTAACTGCCCTCTAAAACTCCAAATATGTCATCATTAGTTACAAATATATAATTTATAGCGGACACAATTAGTTACTCGATAAGCAGCAGCTACAGAAAAATAACAAGCAAACTGAGTATTTCAACTCAGACTTGGAATTGTTATGGAATTTCTTTTCCAATACTTTTTAAACCACAATTATGACTTTAAAAAAAAAGTCTTTGTTCTGCCCACCAGGTCCAGATTATGGTCCTGTGCTGCATCTTACTGACCCACTTTGAATGTTTTCCCATGTAGAACCCACCTTCAGAAACCCAGCCCACGATCGCTTCCGAGGGTTCATTTTCCCCCACTCACAGGAGATGATGAAGATTTTCCACAAGCGTTTTGGTCTTCATCAATTCAGGTTTAATCAACTTGAAGCGATCAATGCAACAATTCTTGCAGAAGATACCTTTGTTTTGATGCCCACAGGTTGGTACTGATGGCAAAAACATTGTTGCCATAATAGATTTGGGATGTCAACAGCAGTGAAAATGTCTCCGTTGCTCTGAACCTTGTGTATTTATAGGCGGTGGAAAAAGCCTGTGTATGGAAGTGAATCTGCGTCATCGGATTTTGAAAGAAAAAGGTGATTGAATTTCTAGCACTGAATATTTATGCATTGAAATCATGTATCTGAATGTTTTTCAACGTTAAAATATTCAACTGCAAAAAATTCAACCGCAAAAAATTCAACATCCGGGAACCCAAGGAAGAGCAATCGATTCTAGATTCAAGATCGGGAGCGTGCGTCGGGAGCGTGCGCCCCCATACAACTTCGGCTTGTCGACTATGATGACCGGATTTCAGCCATGTCCATTAATAATGGGGCTTCGTTGAGTGTTTTAACTTTAACTTCATGCCATCAGTGTGGTTTGTGTCTGTAGGATTCAGTAATAGACAGCTGATGCTGGGATGCTTCGACAAGCTATTAGGAGTGATTGGCGGAGTTTTGAAACCAGGAACGCGCCTGTAGAGCGCATAGGAGCCGCTGCAGCGTAGTGGGGGGGGGGCAGCGGCTTTAGCGGAGCGTGTGCAGACGCATAACCCCAACGTCCAATGTACAAATGTCAGCTGTCTATTACTGAATCTTACAGACACAAACCACACTGATGGCATATAATAGAGTTAAAACACACCGAAGCCCCATCACCGTTAGACATGATATGATCGTGCATTTCGGGACGAATGCGTTATGCGTCGGGTTATGCGTCTGCACACGCTTCGCTAAAGCCGCTGCCCCCCCCCCCCGAAGTCGAAGTTGTATTGGGGCGCTCGCTCCTTTTGCTTGACGCACGCTCCCGATCTTGAATCTAGAATCGATTGCTCTTCCTTGGGTTCCCGGATGTTGCGGTTCGAATTTTTTCGGTTCGAATTTTTTTGCATTGAATTTTTTGCGATTGAATTTTTTGCAAAAAAAACCCCATTCAGATACATGATTTCAATGCATAAATATTCAGTGCTAGAAATTCAATCACCGTTTTCTTTCAAAATCCGATGACACAGATTTACTTCCATACCTGTGCTACCAGCTTCCGGCCTGTGTGTCACCTGGAGTCACTGTGGTCATCTCTCCACTCAAATCTCTCATTGTGAACCAGGTCCAGAAACTCACTACACTGGATGTAAGTAGTATGGTTTCACCTTGTGGGCTCAGTATGAAATATGTTACGGTAAGCATGTGTTCGGTTTATTTGTAATGTTTGATTTCAGAAACCAGCGACGAGCCTCTCTGGTAGTAAAAGTGACAGCGAAGCAGGGAGAATTTATATGCAGCTCTCTCGGAAAGACCCCATCATTAAACTTCTCTATGTCACTCCGGAAAAGGTGAGACAGGATTGGTTCACACTCCAGATGTTTGAGCGAGTGGGTTTTGTTGTTTGATACAAATCAATGGAGTAGTGACTATTTTCTCTCAAAGACTGAGTCTTCTCCTTTCCCCTCAAGGTGAGTGCAAGTCAGAAGCTGATCTCCGCCATGCAGAACCTGTACGAGCGCGGCCTTCTGGTGCGCTTTGTCATAGATGAAGCCCATTGTGTCAGTCAGGTGTGTTCATCTGCCCCCCACCCCCACCCAAAATGCGGCATGCCTTTTATCTTTGTAAGAGCCATTGTTAACCATCTTGCCACCGTAATCTTTTAGTGGGGTCACGATTTTTGTCTGGACTACAAGAGGCTACATGAACTGCGGCAGAAGTTCCCGAGTGTGCCCATGATGGCCCTGACAGCCACCGCCACCCCGTGGGTTCAGAAGGACATCCTGAACCAGCTCAACATGACCCGGCCACAGGTGTACGTGTTCAGACTTGGTCTCAGATCGAAGAATGAGTTTTATTTCACTCATTTCTTTTCAATTCAAACAAGGCAAGGAAAGGCAATTTTATTTGTATAGCACTTTTCATACACAAGGCAGACTAAAAGTGCTTCACATCATAACATTTCATACGATAAAGTGAAATAAAATGCAGGAATTAAAAGACAATTAAAAACAGCAAATAAAATTATAAATTAAAATCTTATTTAAATTGTTTAATTAAAGGCAGAGGTTAAAAGTGCAATGTAGGTGAAATTTAGCAGAAGGCGAAGCTGAACATAAAAGTTTTCCGTCTTGTTTTAAACGTGGTCAGAGTTGGGGCAAGTCTTAAATCTTCAGGAAGTTTATTCCAGCTGTTTGTTGCGTAACTGTTGTTAGTAACTAAATGATGCTTTCCCATGATTTGTATTTACTCTGGGAATCACTAACTGATTGGTGTCAGAAGATCTTAGTGATCTTGAAGGCTTATGTAGTGGAAGCATATCAGTGATATACTTTGGCCCTAAACCATGTAGTGATTTATATGTGAGCAGTAGGATTTTGAAATTAATTCTCTGACATACTGGGAGCCAATGTAAGGATTTAAGAATTGGTGTAATGTGCTCACATTTTTTGGTCTTTGTTAGAACTCTAGCAGCAGCGTTCTGAACAAGCTGGAGCTGCCTGATAGTTTTTTTTTGGAAGACCTGCAAGGAGACCATTACAATAGTCTAGCCTACTAGTTATAAAGGCATGTACAAGTCTTGAGCTGACATGAGCCCTCTAAGTCGTGCTACATTTTTGAGGTGTTAGTAGGCCGATTTTGTTACTGATTTGATGTGACTCTCCAAGTGTAAATCTGAATCCATAATAACCCCCAGATTTCTGGCTTTATTTGATGTTTTCAGGGACAGAGAGTGAAGGTGTTGGGTTACTTTAAACCTTTCTTTTTTAGCACCAAATACAATGATCTCAGTTTTGTCTTCATTTAGTTGTAGGAAATTTTGACACATCCAGTCTTTGATTTGCTCAATGCACTGGCACAGAAGATCTATGGTGCGATAGTCGTTTGGTGATAGCGCTACATAGATTTGGGTGTCATCAGCGTAGCAATGGTGGTCAATTTTATTTCTTTGCATGATTTGTCCTAGTGGGAGCGTAGATGTTGAATAAAGTCGGCCCTAAGATCGAACCATGGGGAACTCCACACGTTACGTCGGTTGTTTCTGATACGAAGTCACCAATGGAAACAAAATAGTTCCTGTCTTGTAGATATGACCAGGAATCAGGATCAGGAATCAGGAAACATATATTAGCCAAAATATGTGAAACATACAAGGAATTTGTCTTGGCGGTTAGTGCGCGACAGTAGACAGACAAGACAACAGTGCACAAGTAATAAAATAAAGTGGAATGAAATGCTAATGCGATGGGTTAGTAGAATAAGGCTAAGGCTATGGGTTAGTATAAAACAAGGGAATAAAGTTAAAAAAATTTAAATATTAAAAAGTTAAAAAGACCTGAACCAGCTTAAGACTGTGCCTGAGAGCCCCACCCAGTTTTCCAACCTGTCCAAAAGTATTGAGTGGTCGACAGTATCAAATGCAGCACTGAGGTCTAATAGCATTAATATTGAAGTTTTGCCAGAGTCTGTGTTAAGACGGATGTCATTTACTACTTTAATAAGGGCCGTCTCGGTGCTATGAAGAGGTCGAAATCCTGACTGGAAGTTGTCGTGGCAGCCAGTTGAAGCCAGGAAGTGATTAAGTTGTTGTAGGACAACTTTCTCAATTATTTTACTTATGAAAGGTAGATTTGAAATTGGTCTGTAGTTGTTGATAATAGAGGCATCTAGGCTCCGCTTTTTTAGGAGAGGTTTAATAACTGCAGTTTTGAAAGCTTTTGGGAAATGGCCTGTCTGAATAGAGTTATTAACTATTTGCAATACGTCTGTTGCTAGGCAGCCAAAAACATTCTTAAAGAAGTTGGTAGGTAGAGAATCAAGACAGCAGGTGGATGGTTTTAAATTTGTCACCGTTTCCACCAGAGTTTGAGAGTCTATGGCATTAAAGCTTGTCATCATTGCTGAGTTACTTTTGCCTAAATAGGGTGGTGATCCAACATTTTTGTTTGAGATATTAATGGCGCGTCTGATGCCTTCAATTTTATCAGTGTAAAAGAACGCAAACTCGACATCTGTTTCCCCTGAAATATATTTTTAAATATAGCAGCAACCCCTCCACCTCTTTTTCCAGATCTATATACATCAATAAAGTTATAGTTGGGGGGTGCTGCCTCAATCAGCAAATCTGTTTTGTGGAGGTTTCTTGGTAGTTCCCCTCTTCTCAGTTGTCCGCTGCTTTGTTCTACGAAGCACGGGGGTTGAGGAGGCGTTATGCCTGGATGGTAACGCAGGCCAGTCGGCCAGATCATAGCTATCGGGCCGCTGCGTCCTGCCAGTCATCCGTTCTCCCTTGTCTGGTCTTCTCTTTGGCTTTGCACCAAGTGTGGTCCAGGGAGGATTGTCGCTGGTAGATTTATTACCCTGTACAGAGTCCTCCAGTTTCTTCATAGTTCCATCATTGCTAGTTAGCTGGGTTCTAGCATGCTCTTGTCCACTGTTTTGAGTCATTGCTAGAGTGGTGTTGTTCCCACATGGTCCATTTACTTCTACATTTACTTCTAACCGATTAACTTTTGTTTCCAGCAGTAAAATCTTCTGTACGAGTTTGTGGTAATCTTCCATAGAGAAGGGAGGCATCTTCTGCTAATTACCTTTAGCACTGTAGCACAGGCTCAGGCTTATCTTGTTTGGTAGGCCTCCTCGCGTAGTGTTGAGGAAGTCGTAAAAATATTGAAAAATGCCTGTTTTATCTAAAAGAAAATATAATCCCACTGGTTTTGGAAGTATCCAGGAGCTCCTGCTCTTTGTTTCGTTAAGCGATTGCCGTTGCCAGAGGTGAAAGTGGACAAAATGAGCGGAGCTGCTCCTCGGTGCGACTGGTAGGCGTTTGCAGGCTGAGAAGAGAGGGTTCAACAACCAACCGCTTCAAATGTTCCATCTTATGTCCTTTCAGGTTCACCATGAGCTTCAACAGAACAAACCTGAAGTACGCTGTCCTGCCCAAGAAACCCAAGAAGGTTGCAGAGGACTGCATCGACTGGATTAAGAAGCACTACCCGCGTAAATAATTCAGAAGTACCTTTGCTGGTTATTTACGCAACTCTTCTGTGTTGTTCAAAAGCCAACTCACATTTGTATGAGGGAACATATAACATATTCCGCCGTCCGTCCTGTTATTTGAAGCTCATACATATTATATTCAATGAATATTTTCAGTGATTTACAAGCCCTCGCCGACTGCCTTTTGTCGCAGGTGACTCCGGCATCATCGACTGCCTGTCCCGTAACGACTGTGATGCCATGGCTGAAGGTCTGCAGAGAGCTCACATATCCGCTCTGTCGTATCACGCGGGCCTGAGTGACGGCGACCAAGAATATGTGTAGAGCAAGTGGATCAACTAGGACGGCTGCCAGGTAAGGTCGCCACTCACTGATGAGTGTAGGAATTCCCACTAGACGGTACTGCAATTTAAAGTTTGCATTGCCTCGGCTACACTGCTTCTTCTTTGCATTGCCTCGGCTACACTGCTTCTTCTTTGCATTGCCTCGGCTTCACTGCTTCTTCTTTGTCCGTCAGGTCGTTTGGCATGGGCATCGACAAGCCCGACGTGCGTTATGTGATCCACGCCAGTCTGCCTACGTTGGTGGAGGGTTACTACCAGGAGTCAGGGAGAGCTGGCAGAGATGGAGAGATCTCCCACTGTATCCTCTTCTACTCATACACCGACGTCCATCGCATCAAGAGGATCATCGGCAGTATGTATTTAGAAATATAGTCCGTTTGTCTGTGATTTTAGTTTCATCCTCAAGCCAAACGTTAAACTATTCTGTATATTAGTCGATGTATACTCTGACGTCTGTTTGGATCAAGGTTTGGCAGAACTGCTCAGCAAAACCGACTGACTCTGTATATGTTGGTGTATGTCTTTGTAGGTAAAGTACATTTTGGTTGGGGAGTCATTTTGCATGATGTTCTGTAAGAATACGTGTTCAAGATTTGGAGCCTGGTCTGGGTTATCAAAAATTCAGCCGAATGACTTCTCTCGTTCTGGGAAATTTATTTGTCAGATCACAGGTCAAGTATCAGCGCTGCGTTTGCAAAGGCAGGAGCAGTTCAGGCAGCACACAAGCCGGAAGAACAACTCACTAACATCAGCAAGAACATCATGTTTTATAACCCTTGAAAGACAGAGAAGGAAAGATTTATATTGGCCCTAAACTGGCGTAGAGGAGGACCTTCCACCGCCCGCATCTAAGATCTGGTCACATCCAATGTCCAGACTCCTGACTTAACCTAAACATCAGCGAACAGAGTGTGTATGTTGAATAGTGTTGGTGTGTCTCTAACCCCCCTTTGGCTGGTAAATCTGCTAGTTGACCCGCAGACCTTGCATTCCTCAGCCAGGACAGAAACTGACTCCCCATCCTGTCAGACTCGTGTCTGCCTGCTTGGCAGATCCTGCTTCCCCCCTTACCTAACACTGCATGAAAAGTGAGATTTTCGTCCCCGTAAACGCCCGGAAATCTCCCCAATTTCCAACAATTTCCGACAATTTGCAACCCGCGCACGTCGCGTTTGTCTGTGCCACAAATTGTCGGAAACGAACCATGACGTAGGCAGTGAGCTGGCGGAGGTGCGAATGGCCCGAATTAGCATATGAATGCAGCGAAACCGCGGGTGGCCGAGCCGAGCGGGCTTGAATATCCTTACTCCTTATTGGATGAAACCACAACTTACTAACAAATAAAATCACTCGTGATTGGCAGCAAAACCACACGTGGGCAGACCAGGCTTGAGTTTCCTTGTTCATGATTGGATGAAAACAACTTTCAATCACTCGTGATTGGTTGGCAGATCTGTCGCTATTGGTCATCCGCCTCATTTTATTTATATATTCATATTATGCTGTATATTCATTTCATGGTTATCCTATGTAGGCTACTACACTATTATTAGGATACCAACCAGGACATCAATGAATTTATAGAGAAAATGAACATTTGCCACATGTTTATGCAAAGAAAAAGCTTTATTAACAACACACAAACAACAACTACATACAAAGTGAGGATCTGCCCGCACTTGGGTAACGGCGGTTTAAAAACTACAGCTCAGTAAACTGTCCGTTTGCCTCCTCGGGGTTGTAGACCGTCACTGGCGCCGTGTTTTACGAGGCAGGTCTGTTGTGCAGGCGGATTGTGTGCGTGTGGCGACCGTACAATCCACCCGAGACCCCGCCAACAACGCCGTCCCCTCCGTCCGACGTGAGCTCTACGGTGGCGGAGTTCCAGATTTCCACCTCGTCATCAGCCAGCACACGTTGTCTCGATTCCAGCAGCTGTAAAAACAACAATGAATCAGTACTGTGCGATGCGTACGGACACAACACATCTATCAATGCACCTGAAACAAGTCAGCAAATAAACTCTGACCGTCTTTCTTCTCGCTCGACTCCGCGCTGAATCCTTCGCAGTTTCCGCCCGCAATGAGTGTTCCGCCTGAACCTGAAGCTCCTGCGTCCCGTCTCAAAATACGTCTCGCAGGCGGCTGGAAAACAATTAAATGAGCGTGGTATGAATACAAAAAGAATCAAACGCAAGTCACAGTAACATTTAACAAGGAAGGAGAAACAGTAAACGGCGTTACTTACACACAATGACGTCGTCTAAATCTGGACTTTTCCCGGAGCAAATACGAGGTCACCGCCTCATTATGAGGCGAGATTAGTCTGTGAAAACAACATGTACAGTTATGATCGGTATCCATACGTATATATTCCCTTATACCGCAGAATGAAAGCATCTTCTTTAAATCTGACCCTTGCTCCGGTTCGTAGCGCCTGTAATTCGTCTCGGAGTTGTGAAGACGGCGCACCGCTTCCTGTAAACGACACGGCAAAGAAAACACACTTTAATAAAGCTGTTTCTGCTCACTTGTAAGGCTACTAGGCTACTCTTAGCTTAGCTTGAGGCTACGCCACTTTTAGCTTAGCCTTCAGTCATCGAACGTATTCTTACCGCTATCGTGGGATTGTGCGCCCGTCTCCTCTTCTTTGAGTCGGTTCCTCTCCTCCATGGACAGAAACCCGCAGAGTCCCGAACGCTCCAGTGGAGCGAACCGCTCGTTGATATCGGCAGTTTGTTGTTGGAGTGACGAGACGATCCACTGAGAGCTTTCAGCAGCTTCTTCTCGTCTGTCTGCGGACTGGCCGAAAGTTGGTGACCGCGGAGAGGAGTTGAAGGCGAGTTGAACGCGAGACGTCGTCCAGCCATTATTCACGAAGCAGCAAAAACCAAACAAAGGAACTGGAGATACAGTTCTTCTGAATATAGTAACACTGTTTGTATGCTCGTCTTGCAAGTACTGCTGTATCAGTCATGCCTATGACCTCACACGTGATTGGACGAGGAGTCTAAGGGTCCTCCAATCACATACGAGGTTATTGTTATATGGAAGGATCAGTATTTTAGGAAGACAAATGGTTGGGACTTTGAAACAGCTGCTATGCTTTATGTAAAGCAGTGTTTTGGTGTCAGCGGAACGACTTTCCCTAGAAATCTGTACAGTGGTGCCTCTTTCTCCATTCCACCAGACACTCTTGAGTCTGACAGACATGCAATGTTGACAATATATCATCAGATGTACCCTTGTGTCACTGAGGTTGAATGTTTTGCCGTGACATGTAAACGGGTAACATATATGAATGTAACTTACTCAATCGATAGATGCAGAGCATAAAGGTCAGCATGTGTTCATGCTAAGTGGTGTGGAAACACTAACAGTTTTGAGGAACCCGTCCTTGACCCTCTAGCAGAACTACGACCAGCCATTATAAAGCAGTTTATAGTTGTTAATGTTGGGTCAAAGGGTACGGCATTGAAACATGTTCTTGCACAAGTTTCCTGGCTTCATTCCCACCCGGACAGACATTTTTATGGAAAGCCAATAGAAGTTTGGGGCTTGCAGGGAACAGACACGTCGTACCCAGCATCATTTCTGCCAGTTGAGCGCATTGCTAGAAGATGTGTGGTTAATACATCCTCTGGGCATTTAAGTAAGACCAAAGAAAAGCTCACTGTAGTCCTGCCACTATGCACTGTAGTTGAGCTCTAGGAGACTTTGATCTCTGCAGACCCCTCATGCTGATTCAAATGTTGTTTGCATGGAATGCTCATTTTACCTTGATTAAAACACATTTTTTAAAGAAGTTATTTTGTGTATCTTTTTTACATAACATTTGCCATTGCTAATGGCGTACACAGTAATCTAGCATATTTGAATTAAATAAATCAATTCAAGCCAAAATGTAAGAGTGTATAATTAGGCTACTGAGCCTGATCTATTTGTACCAGAGATTTTCTTACCTTTTATAAAAATGTCACCTGGGCTAAAACTCCCTCTGCGACCCTGATTTGCATTTGTATAGCTCACAGCATTTTCATTTACATGTCAAAGCCTCCCCTAGAAATAGGGGGAGGGGGGTCATGGGGGGACAACTGCCAAGGGAGGCCCACGTCAATTTCTGACAATTTACGGCAGTTTTCGGCGTTGCCCGCAAATTGCCGCAAACCTGAAATTCCACGACAATTTACAGTGCCGCATACTGCCGAAAATCCCACTTTTCATGCAGTGTAACTCTTAAATCAAGACAAGACAGCAAACCCCCAACTAAGCCCATGAAAAGAACTTTTGATTATCAATTCCCCCTTTTTACATAATTCATTATGTAAAAAAAATCAAAAGAAAGCACTAATCTAAACGCTAAAAATCTATATCGGTGAATACGGGTGAATGCAGCAGTCATGGAAATCCCTAAACAGTACAAAAAATCTAAACCGAGTATAATAGACACAGAATACATCCTAGCCTAGAAATATCACACCATCTACGTGTATTCATCCACTATATATGATGTGTGCAACAGTTAACAGATCACGCGGACAGGAATGTTGAACCTAAAAGGATTTCTCCTTCAGGTCCCTCGAAGTCGGTTCTTACCATACCTATCTCCTCTCCAATCTCCTCCGGCCCTAACAATTGGATCCTTTCATGTAACAAAGCCATCTGGTATGGCAAGGGTATCTTAGCATCTATTGCAGAGGTGATGCATCGGAGACATAGTTGTCTGATACAGGGGATGCAGCAGCATCCACAAAGGGCAAAAACCACTATTGCGATTACTAAGGTCAGAAAAACTGACAGGAAGAAGCCCTTCCATTGTCCAAAGTATTTACCAAACCAATTACCGACGGTGCCGTCTATACCAGAGTGTTCAGCTAATTCAATCGACATGGCTCTTAGTCCGTGTAATGCTCTAGTAAAGGATCCATCTGGGGCGGTGTTATTGGGGATAAAAGTGCAGCACGCTTGGCCAAACATCGCACACACTCCTCCTTTCTCAGCTAAT